TTCATAAAATCATAAATTTCATGTTGAAATCAAAGAGACAACAAAAAGTGCGGAAACATACCTTGATCCATGAATCTTACTGCTTTAATTGGGTTTTGATCTTCCAATTGATATGTGATTTTCCTTCCTTTTGGTTTTCTTGAAAAGTCTCTGTTGATGGGGATGCAGAGATATCATCAAAAGAAAATCATGTTCAAATTGGGGACCATAACCACTTTTAAAATAACTGCTATTGGCAGTTATTAACTTTAAGTTATTTCAAATCGGCCCCTCATCAATTCAAAATAACACCTTCTGGTCTCTACACTTTAATCCCATAAAATTTAATACCCATTAGTCCAAAATTAAATCCAATGGATCACTTTATCGATTATATTTACTTTAAAATAGCACCACACATTCTAATAAATGTACATGTGTGGCCCCAAAGTTGGAATTTTTTCCAGCAAACCCGCCACTTTAAAAAAATAAATAAATAAAACTAATGTTGAAACTTCACAAATCACAGTCCTAGTTTAGAGTCTTTCCCTTTCTCTTAAGCCACAGTCACGTTCATCTCTCAAACCCTTAACCTGACGTTTAAGGAGAGGCGTTCCCCTTTCTCTCAAGCCCCATCACGTTCATCTTCCATGACAAGGAAGATCTATTTAAGGGAAGGTCTTGTTGTCGGTGCCTTCCGGAGAATTTACAGTGGGGGTAGAGGAATAGAAGCGTCCACCCCATTTCGGCCAAAGCAGTCGGTTTGTTGTTCACCACTTTCTTCATCAGTTGCAAAACATGAACATTATAGATATGGATCCAAAGGGTTGAAGAGAGCTCTTAGAAAAAATTTGGGAACAAAGTTTGGCTGCAAATGAGAATCATCGTGATGTTTTTGACTAGGTAATTTCTGTAAAGTTTCATTCAGGTGTACTGTTGAAGCAAATAGTTCTATTTTGATTTTGTTTTCACTCATGAATGTGATTTTGTTGGATTAAAAAAAAAAATTGCTGGTCTGTACTAATTTCTTCAAATTTCAAGCTGATTTTTCATTTATATGTTGCAAAATGTGATGCTTTGCTAATTGATCCTCTTTGCATTTTTATATGCTGGGTGTTAGAGAGATGGAAGCATCAAGTATTCCTCCAATGCTCACCATGTTGCTATAAAGCTTTACAAAGCTTTTATGGGTATTTCTTAAGCTTTGAATTTTTCAATTTTTTATTGATAATTGCAAATCTTTCAGCATCCACATTTTTTTTATTATTTTATATGCTAAAAATGATGTATAGCCATGGAGATGTTGTACACTATTAGGGGTGTAAAATCTATTACATTACTTCACATCTCTGCTTCAATTTTTGGGGATATAACTTTGCTTCAGTTTTTTAAATTAAGCTTTAGTTTATGTTGTTCAAACCGACCTATCCAACCCAACCCGACCGAAACTTGACTAGGTTGGGTTGGGTTGAAATACATAAGTGGGTTGGGTTTGTTTGATTTTACGTCAAACCGACTATGTTGGGTTGCGTTTGGGTTGAGTCAAAAATTGATCCAACCCAACCCACGCCCACCCCTATGTATATGTGTACATTCGTGCCATTTTCTTCCAAATTGTGGCTTTGCCCCGATGATGTATTCCATTAGCTCTACCGACATTCTAAAACGGTCTCCTCTATCACGTAAATTAAACGTAGCAAAGTTCAATTCATTATTAATTGCATATCCAGAATAGCTCGTGAACCACCCAATGACTTGGGATATTTTGTTGCCCGAGCCTACAACAATTGCAATGCCACGTCAACATGCTGAAAGTTGAATACATAGTTATGTACAAATTAATTGAAAAATACAAGTAATAAATTAACATACTTACATCATCTAGAAACCACCCCCCTGGTTTCCACACATTGTTAAACAATTTTTTGGCATCTTCTAAGTTGATATGACCCAACATCCCTATATCAAATATCCAACCCAACATCCCTATATCAAATATCCAACCCAACATCCCTATATCAAATATCCAACCCAACATCCCTATATCAAATATCCAACCCAACATCCCTATATCAAATATCCAACCCAACATCCCTATATCAAATATCCAACCCAACATCCCTATATCAAATATCCAACCCAACATCCCTATATCAAATATCCAACAAAAAAAAAAAAAAAACCTAGAAGATGAAGACTATTTAAATCAAGATTGAAACCTCTGACTAATCAACTAATAGAATTTTGAAATCTAATTATAATTCAGAATCTAAAAAATTTCCAATTGAAACAATAATTATAAGCATAAAATGCAATTAGATTTAAAATAGTTCTCATATGTGACTGCATTTGCATCAATGAGTAGTAAGGTTAAAATTAGTAGCTGTAAGAAACAAAATTATCAAATTAAGACAAATTTCAAACAAACATTTCCAGTTTTTTCCTTCAAAAAATGTGAAATTCTGCGTAATCTTCCTAGCTCCTTGAATATTCACCAGTTGTTGTTGAAATTATATAGATACAAAAATTTCCCACTCAAGTATTGAAGGTTGGAATTTGAAAATGCCGTTCCAACTTCTTCCCGGTTGTTGCTTCGTCTTTCAATTTGAAAATAACCATTTCTTTTACTTTAGGGCTTAACGGTAAAAAGGGAAAATACAAATTAATAGATTTTATTTATTTATTTTGAAAAGAAAACATTGTTCAAAGGGCAAAAAAATATTTCAACCGGGTCAAAAGGCCAATTACTACAATTCCCAAGATTTGATTAAGGTCATATATATCCCCTATCTGGGAGCAATTTTTGCAAGATTTTAATCCAATTTTTTTAAGTGTTGGAAATGTAGGTCAGTCCCATTTGTGCCGTAAATATTGACTCAACATGAAGCAAATGACAAGAAAGCCCTTTTCTCAAGAAGGCTGAATTAAATGTTAGAGAGACATATTGGTCATTCTACTTGGTTTGATCAATAATTGGGACTAACCTCTAACTATCATACACTGTATAACGGTATAAAATTTGCTAAATTTTTATAAAAATCTCTCTCAGACAAGGTTATAGTAGAAACCTAATCACATTTAACATAACCAGGCAATAAATCATTTCATTTGTGCCTTAGGATTCTTAGGCTGGAAGAACTTTAAAAATGAGTCAATTTTATAACATTCTTACGTTATTTGCTGCATGTCTTGGGGTTCTTAGGCTGAAAGTACTTAAAAATTGAGTCAATTGAGCAATCCTCTTATTGCCCCCAATAAGGAGTTGTACGAGTCCAATACCTAGCGTGTTTAGGATCATTTAGCCTTTGGGAGAGTGCGTCAATCTTACCCTTCATGGAGTTGTTTCGCATCCTCCAAAATTCAGATAGAAGACCTCTGCCTTATGAGAGATTAAGAATCAACTTAATCTCTCATAAAGCAGATGTCTTGAATTCAAATATGAGGGACGCAAAAGAAATATATGTGGGGGATAAAATGAATACAGACTCTTTTAAAGTCGACAATAAATACGAGTTAACATACAGGTATTGATCATTACACCCTATCTATGTATTCTTCAAACATGTATAAGAATTTAAGGCATGAAAATTTTCTATAAGAACTCACCGTCGAGATAAAAAGGTGACAGCAGAACGCTTGATGTGGTGATTGTTTTGTTGTGTACTACACATTGAGTCTAATATATAAATTGTCTATTTTGTAATTTTATTGTTTTTACTAATTTCAGTAAAAGTTATATTTTCTTTTTGATAGTTATCCGGTGTTGAAAAGTAAGGTTTTGTGTAGTAGGTGGAGTGGTTGAAAAGCAGAACATCTGTCCGAGCGTGCTACAAGAGTACAAGTTCACTCACATTCGCCTCTATCTCTTATGTGTCAGAAAAGTTTGAATAATATATAATAATGTACCTTTCTAACTTTTGCAGAATTCTTTTTCCTTCCAAACAGTAGCAGACTCTATCTCTTATGTGTCAGAAAAGTTTGAATAATATATAATAATGCACCTTTCTAACTTTTGCAGAATTCTTTTTCCTTCCAAACAGTAGCAGAGAAAAACTTTATGAAATACAATTCCGCTAGTGTTCGAATTTTCTTGATAAAAGGGATGATTGACTCTCACAATACTGGGGGCTGCACTTTTTTTAGATTTTTTATTCACTCGAGACTCATGACATGTGAGAGAATGTCAATCATTCAAACAAAAAATTTCGGACAAAATAGCAAAATTCTTTGAAATAACTTACAAGAACGAATGAGAATCAAGTAAGTATACTTCAATTTTGTCTGGATAATTTGATTTCAATAAGATGTGAACCATCAAACTATAGAACCACACCTAACACAGTACTCCATCCAATTCCGTCACTTGAACCGATGAAAATCGATAATGTGGCAATTAACAATGATGGTCATTATTTATTTCATTGAAAATGTATTTACTCCACTCGAACAACTACGTTCGCGTATGCTGATTACCAGTAATTGACTATCACGTCATCAATTGTCGTCACTGAAATTATATAGAGTTACCTTGATTGAAATTAAAATAAAATGTTGTTATTTAATTGAATTAATTTAATGTATAGTTACCCAATTGAACAAAATTGAAGTTCATTTACCTAATTGACAATAAAGTGAAAGTATAATTACACAAATAGAATTTACTAATTTTTCTACTCTTAGACTATTTTCAAGAGACTCTCTAAATATAAAAATGCTATTCATTTAATAATACAAAAAAATAAATAAAAATTAAATACTTAAAAATAAGGTCCAAGAGAGTCTCTATTTTAACTAGGGGTGAGCGCGGGTCGGTTCGGTTCGGTTCTCTTTAGAACCGAACCGAACCGAACAGAACTTTTCGGGTATCTAGTAAATGGAACCGTCGGGTCCAAATATAATTATGGAACCGTTCGGGTTCGGTTCCATTCGGTTCAGTTCGGTTCCGTTTAGTTCTGTACTATAATTAAATTTTTTAACATTTATAACAACATTATATAAATACAACTAATGATACGTTCAATGGTTTTGGAATGTCAGAGACTAGTAAACTACCTTATTCAAATGATCGCTACGATCAAAGTTTCGGTTGGCGAAGGTCACAGTTTCGATCGGAGGTCACAGTGTCGACCGATAATTGTATAGGTTTTGGAATATTAGCAAGGTTGCGAGAGTGAGTGCGAGAGTCGAGACAACGTTATGTACTTTGGTGCTGGTGTTTAGGGTTATTTCGTAGCTTGGCTAAGAAATGAAACAATAAAATGGATAATTGGGTCAAAAATTAAAAAATTAGAAATGAAACAAATTATTGGGCCAAAATTTTGGATTTAGAAATCGTTAATTTGTTAATTTGTTTAGAAAAAATTAAAATAATTTGATTTACTCAATATAAAAAAAAAATTAGTAAGATTCGATTCTTATTCGGTTATTCGATTTTAGGTCTAGAACCGAGAACCAAACCGTACCCGTCGGTTCTCAATTCAGATACCCGTTCGGGTATTTAATTTGACAAGAACCGTCGGGTTCGGTCGGTTCGGAAGATTTGTCCAGCCCTAATTTTAACTTCTAAACATAGGGAGTTGATTTGATTCTTCAAATTTAGAGAATCAAACTCACTCTCTATTTATAATGATTCCATTTAATAAATTATAGATTTCATTATTTTATTTCTTAAATTATTCAAATCACATTTAAATTGATTGGTTATTAACATATAAAAAATTATATTAAATAAAATATGAGGAAAAATTTATAAAAATTTCTTTTAAAAAAATAAAATTAAAAGTCAAAATATAGAGTATTGTTGAAGTGCATGAAATTTGATTACAATGTAGCCAAATCTAGTTCGACCGGCTACAAATGAAACAACTAAATTTTAATTTTTTTTTTATTAATTAATTTTATTTTATTTTATTTATTTATTTATTTTTTTTGGGGTTTTCATTGAATGCAAGAATTAAACAGTTTAACGACACCAACACTAATCTGATATATATAATCGCTGAACCCAATTATACTGCCCATTATTATTGCTGCAAATCGTTGAATCCAACTCCATTTTCACATCATAGAATCAATGAGAAACACCATTAGCTGACGAATGTTTAGCTTCTTCACCATTTTCTTTCACTTCTCCATTGACACCTTCTTTACCATTTTCTTCTCTCTCTTTCTCAGCCTTTAGCTTCTCTTCTTCCTCTGCTTTCGCTTTAGCTTCTTCCTCGGCCTTGGCTTTTGCTTCTTCCTCTGCCTTCATTTTTGCTTCTTCCTCAGCCTTCGCCTTTGCTTCTTCCAGAGCCGTAATCAATCTGACCAGACAAGCTTCTTCATCCTCTTCGGCTGATTTAGGCATTAAGTTCTCTGCAACATCAGCGGGAGTCATTTTGGTTTCCTTTAACAAGCTATCAATCTCGGCAAAGAGTTTATGAGATTCAAGGTCCAAATAATTCTTTGCTAAAACTTTAAATGCTTCAAAGCAACAGTAAGATAATTCTATATGCTTATCCATTCTTCCTCTCCTAATCAAAGCAGGATCAAGTTTTTCCACATAATTCGTCGTAAAAACAATTATCCTCTCCCCACCACAAGCTGACCAAAGACCATCGATGAAATTCAGAAGCCCAGATAATGTAACCTGACTATTCTTGTTTTCCTCCCTTTTTTTAATCTCCGCCATAACTGGATCCTTATCCTTTTCTTCTTTCTTTTCATCCTCTGTCTTCTCCTTCTTCTTTTCCCTTTGGCCCGTAAGATCAAGTGAACAATCAATGTCTTCTATTACAACAATAGATTTACTTGATGTGTCTATCAGCAATTTTCTCAGCTCTGTGTTGTCCTTAACTGACGTCAATTCAAGATCATAAATATCATATTTTAAAAGATTAGCCATGGCAGCGATCATGGTGGACTTCCCAGTTCCAGGTGGGCCGTGCAGGAGATACCCCCGCTTCCATGCCTTGCCAATCTTGGCATAATAGTCTTTTGCCTTAGTAAATCTGATCAAATCTTTGATAATTTCTTCCTTCTTGTTCTGCTCCATGGCTAAAGTATCAAAACTAGCTGGATGTTCAAATATCACGTGGCTCCACTTGGTTCTCTTGTATCCGTCCCAACCATCACTCTTATTGTTAGTGTACAATTTCCTCTGCCTTTCTTTAACAGCAATCTCCTTCCCCTCATTCAAAACATGTTTCAGATAAGAGTTGGTGATTATATCCCTGTGTTTCTTGTGGAAAGTGAGTGTGAAATACCTGTTGGCGTCTTCCCTCGGATACACCGAAAACGACTGCCTGTCGGGAACAAAATGGTTGGAAGCCCACCAAAGCTTGATTCCCTGGAATTCATCGGTGACTTCTTCGTTATCCGACATGCTAAGAACTATAACCTGGCTGTCTTGTACAACGTTGGCCTGTAGATGCTTCGCCTGCGTCGAGGAATTCTTGTTCAAATACCTTTCCATTGCAGCAAATGCTTTGCAGCGTTCGAATCCATCGCCCTGATACTCTGAAAACGTAATCACGATGTAAGGATGGAGCAGACTCATGATCATGTGGGTGTGACGCTTGAGAGGTTTTAGGAGTTCATAGGGGAAATAATTCTGAAACATGGCATAAGCCACCATTAGGCCTGCAACTGCAGAGCTTGCTCCTGTAATCATTTCTCCTATGGTAAGCAACATTATTGTTTGTGTTTCCAGATATTCTTTGGAAATCTAATCTGATTTATGAGCTTTCATATTGATGCCACTATATATAAGAACTGAACTAGTTAGAGTCCAACTTGGTGAGCAAGTCTTTTGATTGGTTCCTTTTTCTAATATATGTATTATGTGGAAACTTTTGTTATTTGTCCTTTATAGCTTTTTCAAATACAAATACTGATGCTGTACACTTTTTCTGACGGTCACTCACATGCGTAGGTTTTAGGATTATTTTAATCGTGAGATCACTGATATAGCTTCCGTTTGAGCTAGGGGCGGACCCAAGCGGGGTCCCCTAGGGTCACCAATTTTTTTCAATTTTTTTTTTTTTAAATTTTGGTCGTCTTAAATTTCAAGCACACTATGGAATATCAAATGAAATTGAAATATTACATTCTTAGAGCATGTTTGGTACAATTTAAAATACAATTAAAATTAATTTTTTGATCGTTATTTCACTATTCCAACCGTCATTTTTTAATTCTTTTCTCATAAGTAAGACCCACTTTATCTCTAATGATCAAAAAATCAATTAACAAAATATTTACCAAACAAACACTTAATATCATTTTGAAGTACTCACGACCTAATATTTCACATTGTTAATGTTGTGCGAAATGGTTAATTGTAGCAAATGTTATGACTTGTCAAAATAGGTCGGTCCAAACTAATATTTCGAAAATTTCGATAACAAACTAACTTTAAAAAAATTTCGACGATTATACGCTAGCCATATTCATAAATCTTCTATATCCTCTCGAAACTCATTTCGAGAATTATATTATAAACATATCTAATAATTTAAATGAATATCAAAAATAGTTAAACGTACGTTAAATGTGTATGCTAAAAAGAGACGTATAACTCGTTTTTTTTTATAAAAAAAATCAATTATTTTATTAATGTTTATTATCTTTGCGCGACAAATTTTTCAATATTATTTACTTCATTTTATTAGGAAATTTTATATGTGGTATGACGTCAAATTTTTTTTTTTTTTCATGTGAAAATTCTTAATAAAAATTTTATTATTCATAGGGGTTATAAATTGTTATACTACTTTTTCATCTTGATTATTATTATATCTGAAAAATTT